TCGAGTTTTTAATTAAGGGTCCAATGACAGCTTAACTTTCCCTCAGGATAAACATGACCTTCACTGGTTGAGTTTTTATTGGCTTTTTTTCCTGGCTACACAGGAGTTGCAGCGGTGGGAACGAGAGGTGGAAATAGTCCCATACGACGATGTTTATTAATTTTTGCCTCGAAAGCCTTCTATGAATTCAAGAACACTGACCTAGGCATCATTTCACACCTTGGCTTAAAAAAATGTTAATAAATCCAAATCAATTTTATGGACCATAAATTCTTATATTATGACAAACGAGTTACGCGTAGCTTTTCTGCTTGTCAACTTTTTAATTATGCATAAATCGTTACGGAAACTCTCTAAAATACATATCAATCAAATTTGAATCACAAAACTTCTAATCAAGAAAATCTGGCAATATTGGTAATATAGGAAATTGATAGAAACCAAAAGAACCTTCCACGGGATATCTACAATAACAGAAGCGACAATTTATATACTTAATTTATGTAAATGAGTAATAAAACTACCCATCCTCTAGTTTATAGTTTGAACTCTTTGCCGTGGGAAAGCAGGTGACAAGTATTGGCATCATTCACATTAAGTAGAAATATTGTACAGTTGTTAATAATAAACTTGTGACAATCAACATCCTTTAGTTATTTACAGTCCACGAAAATTTTATAAAGGAAGAAAATCGGTAGTAGTAAGGGTTTCCTTCACCATCTCTGAATAAAGGTGTTAAGTAGGTTAATCGTTGCTAAAGTCACGTGTAGCAACGAGATCATCATGACATGACATTGACAAGATTTTGACGTGACAATTTAATGTGTGAAATTCTAAATAAATACCTACTTAACTTCTTCTTACATTTACTTGCTAAACAGAACATCACTCGGAAATCGTGAAAAAGGCTCTAACCTCCCAAATAAAGGCAGTCCAGATAGTATTCCATTGAAATATTTTGTGATTTACAAAAAGTTCTACAAGTTAAAATTGCTGACTGTACTTTGGATAATCACATATTTTATCTTAAAATCTTAATGACTCAAAGGGTTAGATGGATTGCTAGTTGGCATGAAACTTCGTTGTACTCGTAAAAACATCCGTACATAAATTCTTGTAACGCATTTCAGAAGAGCTATTTAAATTGGGCTACGATTAACGTATTTTTTTCACCGATAAATCTTGTATACTCTCTATTTTTTATCGAATAAGCCTGGGTTGTACCATCTTTTTTTAACTTTGACAAACGTCAAAAGTCTGTCCAACTCCATACAAAAAACACCGGTTATCGTTATAGTTACTGTTAAAGTTAGGTGGTGCAACTCAGCCTTGTTAGGGTATAAAAATTTTCTAATATATCGACTATTACATTTAACTACAAAGTATATCGTGCGAGTTTAAGTTAAGATGATTTTACTGAGCAGAAACACCGAAGGTTAAACTCATTAACATTTTAAAAGAATAGCCTCTTAAATGTTGTAAAAGGTGAACTAAAGCCAAGGTTCAACATTTTTGAGTTATAAGATAAGAAGGCGTGAATTTAATTTGTTCTTACACGTATGTAATTATTTAGTCATTGGACTCGGCGCATAGATTATTCGAGTTTTCTTTTCATTTTTACTTACGGAGAACTGACATCTTTTCTTATTGAAAAAAAAAAGTAACATTTTTCACTTTGCAAACAAAGGCTATGTTTAATTAACTACTATACCAGCTGGGCTAGGATGCGCGCCGTGATAAAATCTTATCGATAATTTTAGGCGACAAATGTATGGGCTTGTCGCGTAACATCGATAAAATGCCTCGATAAAAGTTTACCTTAGGCCTACTAGTCTCTAAAAAATTCAGTGTCAATGCTAGTAGGCCTTATTGATTTGCAAAATTGTCGTGTTCCGCATTGAGACGTTCTATTTGTCGCTCAAATTAGTATCGACAGCATATAAAGTATATGTTTTTGTTGCAAAATCGCTCTTGTTACTACTACAATAAGATGACCCAGTGTTGCCACCCCAGCTTGACGTGGTCCTTACTAAGTACCTAATATTGCAAATTCTTGCGGCAAATATCCAATCGCTGTCTTGTTGTTACTGGCTCAAAAGAGTACTTATTTTTAAACAAACCTGTCAATCTTTCCCCAAAACGTCTAGAGGCTAATTACGTAAAGATGAAGATCCAAACCGATCCAGTGAAAGTACGCCACAGCCGAGTTATGTTTTTGTTTTCGTAGTATTTTGACGTTCGTACTTCGGAGAATACCGTTGTGGTACATCCAGCGTCAAATAGTTCGTGACACCCAAAGTAGCCAAAAAGTTCGCAACACGCCTTTATTGCAATTGGAATAAGGTTGTGTTTTCAATTTCTTGGGCACTTTGGGTGTCACGAACTAGTTGACGCTGACTGTACATAGGCGTTTTCGCAACAAACTACTCGTTAATCGTTGTTTTGTGTGGCATTGAAACTTAAACCGTTTATTTGGGACTTTTTTGCGACTATTCCAAGTGAAACCTATTTTCGGTGACAACTGCAACTTTTCCGTGAAATCGATGCTGTCGAAATCGAGTATTCATTCTATTAAACGGCATTTTAAAAGTTAATCAGACGTGTTGAAATGAGATTATTTTTCAGCAAGCTACTTATATTTTTTGACAGCTCCTCCAAATCCAAGTATTTATTCAAATCCAAGTATTTATTCAAATTTTTTAGAGCTGAATTTTCAATCGTCGCTTATAGTTCCAAAATACTGGACTGTCCTGTCGATGACATTGACAGAGGGGCGCCACCGTCAATACCGGATCGCTGGTTCAGATTTTTGCCATGTTGGAAACCATATAGTTGAACGATGGTAGCGCCCCCCTGTCATTGAGTTTGGCGGGACAGTTCAGCGTGGGTCATCTATAACTAATAACTGAAGAATAAGTTTTGCATATTGACAGTTTAAGTATAGGAAATATGTCAAATTGACAAGTTTATTCTTCACTTAAAAGATATCTGACAATTGAAAAATCAGCCCTTAGCGTAGCAACCTATTTGCTTCTGAAATATAAACAAAAATAAATCTAATTAAGGTCAACCATCGAAAGTAATATTTATCATAACGTTACGGTTGTTTAAAATATAATTGAACAAGCATTCATGATACGAAGTACAAAGGCCATACATTTGTTGATGATTATTTCATCAGCTGAATGAGATGCGGTTTACTTTTGATGGTGGCCATTGGTTTATCATTATAACTTTCGAAACAATAAATTAACTATTCAAAAAGTATCATTTCAAAGATGTTTAAGTACTTATGCCAAAACTTCCTTGTTGACTCTTTGCTTTTGGTGTAAGAGCAATAAGTCCATTCTTACGTAGGTATAATTGGATAACCCCGTAGACTACAGATTTTCAGTCGGCCGATAGGTTGGTCAGCTTCGAATATGTAAGAGGAAGCGGCCGACACCAAATCGAATGTGTGTGCACTTCCATACATGTTCATACTGATTTAACAGCCCAACCAAACTATTTTCTGAAGAAAAGTACTATATGTAGTCTGCTTGGTGTCTTACAAGAATTGTCTCAAAAATTTTCGTAAATTATTATTCAATTTACTTAATTATAATCAAGGACGTATTCCACTTTGAGCACCCGCCCCAATAGCACCTGGCCTATTCCACTTAGAGCACCTATCGATAGCTAATAGCAGGTGCTATTTAATTTTGTGCGAGTGCTCAAAGTCGAATACGTCTAATCAAGCTCTACTCTATTAGTAGTCATACAAAGCAAAATTTATTTTAATTGCTAGTAAAAGATATCCTCCTAGATTAGGCCATATCATCTGCAAAGCTGTCAATTCAAAAGTACAGTCAGCCCCAAATATTCCGTGACACCCAAAGTTGCCAAAAAGTTTGCAACACGTCCTTGTTGCAATTGGAATAAGGTTGTGTTGTCAACATTTTGGCTTTTTTTTGTCACGAACAATTTGACTGACTGTACAAGCTGTTATTATCAAACAACCATCGAACTTAAATGATGATGTTGAAGAAAAAAATAATGACTCAATAATAAGTGCAAGACATCTGTTCAACTCCAAAATCTTATCTTCTGATCTGATCGAACCATTAAAGTTTAATGAGGGCCGTGATCGGAAAATCAGATCGATGATCGACAATCAGTGTTGTGTTTTGTTCCCATCACTACTTGAGGATAGATTGCGGACTTTCTGTGGTTTTTTTTCTTATTTTTTTACTTATAAATTAGGTAGATATAATATCAAATCATATAAGAATAATTTAATCGCATATCAGTTTCTCTGCTGATGAGTAATTTGACCGTATTTTCCAATGGACTCCTTTCATAATGAATAATTACAATATCATTTAAGACTACATAAAATAACCTTGCCATTTAAATCCTTAACCTTTAACTCGCCGACAACTGCCTCGGCGTTAATATAATGGAAATAAAAACAAGAAAAATTGCAATACGAATTATTATCGTCGGTCGGTTCAATGAAGAATGCCTCGGGAATGGTTATTAACACCGATACCCGCAATCAAATCCCATTCAGTATTGACAACTATAATTTTAAATCCTATAACTTGGTTAAGATACTGCTGAACTGTCATTAAAAGGTTAAACATTTACAAATTACGATTGAACTCAAAAAATGTACTTAATTTTGTATGAATTCAGTTCATTCTGCAAGGAAATCTTGCATATTTATAATTTGTAAAATTTTTTGTTCTGAATGCGAGCAGTGACTCTGGTCTTTCGGAAATCTTCGAGGAGGTTTTAGTCCAACAGAGGACTCCATTTTTTTCGCTATATTACCTGAAGTTGCTGTAGGTAGATGAATATACGAGCTATCAAGATAACTATTTAACATTTCCTTTTTTTTTCTTTTTCATTTGTGTGACCGAATTCAAAATTATTACTTTGATTGTGTGTCTCATATTCGACAATTATTGTAATAAATCCTTTTTTAACCCGTCGTTAACATTCATGGTCGCCTACAGATTACGCCGGAGTCCCAGCAAATGGCCCAAGCGGGTACCACCGCAATCGAATCCCATTCAGTATTGACAACTATAATTTTAAATCCTATAACTTGGTTAAAATACTGCTGAACTGTCATTAAAAGGTTAAACATTTATAAATTACGATTGAACTCAAAAATGTACTTAATTTTGTATGAATTCAGTCCATTCTGCAAGGAAATCTTTCAAGCCCATTTATAATTTGTGCAATTTTTTTTGTTCTGAATGCGAGCAGTAAATCTGGTCTTTAGGAGGTTTTAGTCCAACAGAGGACTGCATTTTTTTCGCTATATCATTACCTGAAGTTGCTGTAGGAAAAAAAAAAAAAAAAAAAAAAAAAGGTAGATGAATATAGGTACGAGCTATCAAGATAACTATTTAACATTTCATTTTTTTTTCTTTTTCGTTTATGTGACCGAATTAAAAATTATTACTTTGATTGTGTATCTCACATTAGACAATTATTGTAATAAATCATTTTTTAACCCGTCGTTAACATTCATGGTCGCCTACAGATTACGCCGGAGTCCCAGTAAATGGCCCAAGCGGGCACCCNATGGCCCAAGCGGGTACCAGCTTGGACGTACCGTTGGAAGAGAAGATGGCATCTCTAGATGTGTCAGAATATATTGCTGTTGAATTCAAGCCTTTAGGTGTTAACAAGGCCATCGGTCGCCCGAAAAAATCCAAACCCAGGTGGCTTTTGGAATTTGAGTTTGACGAGGAGGTGACAATTGTGCGGGAATGGTGTGGTTATCAAGGCTCGCCTCGTGTGAGCAAGAATTATTTACGAAAGGGTATCCCATGGCATTTCTATCCGCATAGGCTTCCGTACTGGTGGACTGAGGAGATCGCTGAGCTTCGATATGTCAGCAATAGGTCAAGAAGAGCTTTTACTCGTAGTCGGCGGAGGAAAGTCCGCGATTTTGCGCTCGAAGCGGAGCTGCGTGAGACTTATAAAGCCAACAAAAATATCTTAAAGCGAGCTATTTCCAAAGCTAAAAATGAGGATGTGGATGTGTAGATTTACTTTTTTTTTCAAGACTGAACATATTAATGTTCTATTGTCCTGTACGACTATTTAGCAATGGGTTTTCTGATGACTACTTTAGCATAATGACATCAACAGCTTGTTAAGAATGTGGTGAAAACCCGAAATTAAGGGTCTAGAGAGAGAAGATAAATTAATGGGATGGCTAAATACGGATTCCTGGTATATTTTTCGGGTAAGATCCACCAGCCATTTCTACCAAGTGGACCAAAGTATTGATAAAAAGTGTACCGCTTATAACCCTATTGTCATCTAGTTAACAGTTAGAGATGTCAAAACTGGAACATCTCAAATTGGTTGAAGAATGAAAGCAAAACTGTGAAGTGACCTGAAGGTGCCTGAAGTGTCGATTTTCTCTATGTTTCGCTAATAAGAGAGATCAAAATTCCAACCAATATGTATACCATGGAACCGGCTTGGAACTATACCATCGCATGTCGGGAAACTTTGTTCTAGCATATATATCTTTGTTCATATCCATCGCGTGTTTATAATAGTAAAATTAGACGTACACGTACCCGCACATTTTTAACACCACGAATCACTTTTTTCACGCAAATCTGTTTTATATTTTTTCCCATGATCGTCAAATGACGTTAGTCTCATGTAGGAAATATTTCGACCTACTGTTTAAGTCCAATAATTTTTTCCTTTTTAATGATTGCGTGTATGTGTTTGGTGATATTTCTGGAGTAAATAGCACAGAAACTTAAATAAATATCAATGAGCAACCGAACAGGAACAAGAAATAAAGAGCCTACGATATTATGAGCTCATAAGCCTGTATTACATTTTAAGATAACACTCAAGTTTGCACTTGAGAATTGATTAACGGTTTAGTGTCAATAGATAGTCGGAGACGTGAATCTATAGTTGAGTTTAGACTTTTCAAACTTTATTAGAGTCGTTTCAGAATACGGGAATCCTTTAATTTCAGGCTACCTCTAACTTCTTTGCCTTATAACGTTTTATTCATTAACCTTTCTCAAGCTGTAAGTGTCCTTATTACAAAAAGTTAAATGCGCGTTGAAACGTGCGTTTAATTTTTTTTTTAATAAGGCCCATGATTTCTCACGAACCTTTATCATTTTCATTCAAACCCGTGGGTGGGTGTTACACCGTTATGCGATGGGAATCTGTAACAAGCTCGTGACGCACGCGCATTGATTGAATAATTACGCCCTGATCGCGAGACAAAAGACATTGTACTCTCGACAGCACATCAACTTATACATTTTTGCTGCAAAATAGCCCCTATCGGAAGTGCATTACAGGCCATAGTGTCAAGTTTGATCTGCTGTCGTCCGTACTTCAAGAAAGCATTTCGTAGGTATTGACAAACGAGATATTATCTGTATGATTTGACTTTCTTTATGAGCCCTTGAAAGGAAGTGGTACCGTGAAACTAAAGTTTTTGTTCTATTTATTTGCAGCCATAATATTGATTTTTGTTTATTTTTGTTTTGTTGATTTTTTAATAAAGTAAAACTACTAGTGGTTTTGTCAGTGCAATGTTTGTCTTTGTTGATTGATTTATTACTAAAGATTAGAAATTATTAATTGATTGATTGTCAATATGAAAAGTAATTGATTTGATATTGTGAGTTTATGTTTAAGTTAAAGTATTTAATTGCTTTTTTTCTATATGAAATTTATTGTTTATGTTTTAATCACAACATTTTTTTTATATTTCCCTCATTATTACAACTAAAGCAAAATGTGTAGGCTAAAACTGTGTTGCCCATCGCAATTGATTGATGGAATAAATATCTAAATATAAAAAATGAAAAAAACAAAAGTATTTGGGTAATAATATGTTGTTTCTATTTGTTTTGTTATAATCACTATGTTTTTCTTTTTTAATATCTATTATTTTTCTTTCATTTCATGTTTTCGTTATTTTCAATGAAGACTTTTTTATTGAATGCCCTTGTGATTTTTTTTTGTTTTACAGAAATATATTTGTCAACGTGAAATTGTGAACTCTGTCAATTTATAATATAACGCGTTAGATTGTAAACTAACAGTGGGTTAGGTTAGGTTAGATTGTAATTTAACTACGTCAGATTATAATCTGACGGAATTCACAATTTTACGGTGACATATCCAACCTCATTAAACGTAAAGAATGTTCGCATTTATTTTGTTTTATTGCATATAACAATGCTAGCTGTAGGTACTATGTAATTGTAACTGTATAAGGTGATAAGTAGTCACTTTTACATTATGCAGATTTGTTCACTGATCCATTTGTCCGTAACGTACCACCTACCATGATTAAACTGTAGTTTATAATGATACATCGTTTATGTCGGCCTTTGACGCGGCTTTCTCTTGGATTGTTTTGATATAATCGGAGGCTACTAGAGATAGCGATGTTTGTTAGATCTAATCCTGCAATGTTTCAAAATATGTCAGATATTAATAACCGGACACGCCGGGACAATAGATTGGTTGTTCGTAGTTGCAATACTGCGCTTATGCGTAAAAGTGTGTTTTGTATGATACCCGCAATATTCAATAAAATTCCGAAGACATTAAGGGAACTCAATATAAACTTATTTAAGCTAAAACTGAAAAGTCTTCTTGCAGAGAAAAGCTATTATAGTGTTGAATGAATTTATGACAGATAAACTGAAATTAAATGTTTCTAAAACAAACACACACGACACAAACTAAAATAATAATAAGTAAATTTTTTATGACATTTTAATTACTATTTTTGAATTTTTAATATTGAATTGACATTGTAATATTACGACGACTAGTGACTTATAGTTTTGACTACTTAATAAGCAATCAAGTGTTTTGTGTCATTAATGCATGTGAATTATTAATTTATTCATTGATTTATTAATCACCTATATTATTGTATGCCAACCAGGCGAAACATAGTGAGACTATCACAATGTAATATTTTTATCTGTAAACACCTATGTTTCACAATAAATAATTTTGAATTTGAATTTGAATTTGCAATAAATCTATTATTTGATTGATACAATATTATTATTTTGTGTGAGTTACCATCTACCGATGCAGGCACCACACCGTGCTGTGTTGAAAATTGAAATTCCTTAAGAGAAGCAGTCGAATAAAGCGAAGAAGAAAACTTCGAAGTCGTTGAGTTGCCCCAAATAAGTAGAATTGAAAAGTCTGATATAAATCAGACTTTTCAATTCTATTTGGGACAACTTTACAAGAGTAAGAAAATACTGGGTAGTTTAGTAAGTATAGTGTTTTTACAATTTATTCGTAGCAAATAGAAGAAAGGTTTTGAAAGAGTTGAGAGGCTAACATAATCTTTTTCAAATACCTATAGTTAATAAGTAGGATAGTCTTTTGTTATTTGAGAATGTTATCGAGAATAAATCCTGGTATAACTGGCACATTGACAGTTTCAGTGTAGGAAATATGTCAAAACTGACGATTTATTCTGAGATTAATATTTACTCTTGTTTGGTCGAATTCACCATAAATAGACCAACGACGTCTTTAGCAGAAAGTCTAGCGTGGAATGGATGGCTGAAGAAAACTTGAAATCTCATAGGCAGTCTGATGTGCTAAGTCGACGGTAGGCTAAAAAAAATACGTGTGGGTTTGAATCCCAACTGGAAGTTTGTCCTAAAATATTGAATACAATATAAAAAAATATCCAAGTGCTCATTAAGGCACTAAGAAATACATTATTTAAATTGAACCCAGGACCATATCACCACCGCTAATTGCCACCAGATAGTATATTATAACCTTAATCTACCCAATTTTTTTGGCAAAATAGCAAGTCATTGTCTAACAATTCAAGTCCTATATCCAAACTTGCTTCAAAAATAATAAAAATGTTCTTAAGAGCTTTCGAAGCTTTACCTACCTGCCTACCTACTACTTAAGTTTAAACAAGAAATAAAATGTAAATCTTAGGATGTTAAAGATGACTTCTACCTACGCAAAGCAATTAATTTAGGATTTACTGAAGGATCTTCTAAGAAGAAGATCCTTTAACTCTCTGTATGACTCTACATAAGAATGTAGTCATACTTCATGTCAAAGTCAAAGCTCAGAGAACTCAGGCCCATTTCAGGGCGCTTAAACAAGTCCCAAATATAGTTTGCCCTTGGTAGGGCAACATCACCATCGGGCACCACATCCACATCGGGACAAAATATGGGCTGGTGCTGAGTTAGTTAGTTAGTTAGTTTTGCAGGGCAATCGAATGCCGCACTTAGCCTCATGATAGGGCCATTGTGCGCGATTTGTGGTTTATCTTCCTACTCCAACCACCCCAGATCCCCCCAGAAGGCGAGCAGCCCGTCCAGGCTGCTGCAGGCTTCCTGTAGCGACGACGGTGATCGAAGAAATTGAGCCCGTTGTTCTTCCACGCTACTGCACTCCATGAGCACATGCTGCGGTGTTTCCTCTGCCTCCATGCACCCCCTGCATAATGGGCTGTCTGTGACACCTATATTGTATAGGTGCTTGTTTAGCATACAGTGTCCGGTTATGACACTTAAGACCTTGCGGATGCTGTCCCTGTTTAGTCTGATGAGGCTGCGGGAGAACTTTTTCGATACGTCCGGAACCGCATCTTTTGTTTGCCTGCATCCTTCGCTATTTTTCCATTCTGTGTGGTGTTTTTCTTCTGTTTTGGAACGCAGCCAGTTCCTGATCTGTGCTTGTGGTATCGGCAGTATTGGTTCCGGGCCAAATACTGTTGTGTCCGAACCTCTTTTTGCCAGTTNTTATTGCGCCCTAACGGGTCGGACACTGGTGACCAGACACACTGTACAATTATTATAATTTTAGCCTATCTCGTGAGCTAGGTGTCAATAATTAGGGTGATTTACTAACTAACCAGTCGCATACGAACAACAGCAGTGAGATTCAAACAAGTTTGATCCATGATGCCGCACGACTGTTGTGTGAGCCCATCCGTAACCCAAGCTTATTTAGCTTAACACAATGGGCTGGACGGGACTATTAGTAAATTGTGCAATACAAAGTGCTTATAATCTTTAAAAAAATCTTTTTATTGCTGTTTATTTAACCTTCCTTTCGTATACTAATTTATGCGTCAGTGTCAAGTCTGCGATTTTTATTCTTTGAAATTTTCGTAAAATGGCTGCCGCCGCGGTGACGCCTTGTAATTAACAAATTAAAATTAAATTAGTGTTTTAAAGTGCACAAATGTACAACTTAATGGTAAAAAGTCATTCCTTGATTTTTACTTATTATGTATCTGGAGTTATTTGAACAGTATTTTCGTCTATAGGATGGCATATTTCAAAAAACAAAACTGCACTCAAGCGTGTTGTCACAGCAACCGCTGAGCACATACTAATTGAATTTCGGTCCATGGACCTGTTTGCGTGCCAGAAACAGTCTAGTTGACATGTCTTCTCTAGTACGTAGTACATTATAACTCAATGAATCTACCC